GATTTTTGACCATTTTTTAAGCCGAACTGGATGAAGTGGTAAATATGAAAATTGTAGCTTTTTCTTTTAGCTTTCCAATGGTCTACAAAATCATGTCATTTGAAGCTCTGTAGCGACAGGTATGGTCAAAATACTGAAATGTATGCAGTGAAAATTTATATCTCAAAATTGTTTTCCTTCTTCTATTAAAATTCTTCTTTCATTAAATATCTACAAAAGCACAAATAAATCAATAGCAGTCTATCTTAATCACATTAACATCAAATTAAGTATAAAATTAACTAAAATTAGATTGACTCTCTTAAATTAACTAATTTAAAATAATTTAAATAAAACTTATTAATTTTCATGTATTACTACAAAAACTAAGCTAAATTACTATCAAAGTAAAGTCTAAATAACTCTATATCTTAAAGTTATCATGAGTACTTATCAAAAGGTTTAAATTTTTTTCTTCTCTGTCAAATATTGAATTTTATTAAGTATCAAAGGGATACAAACTTTTGCATCCAAATATCCCATTCTAAAATTTTATTAAGTTTTAGGCTTTTTCTTCTTTGTCAAATATTAAATTTTATTAAATTTTAGAAAAGAAGATAAGCAGAGTTTTTTTAAGAGGATAGTTGTACCCCAAAATATTTATGTAGCTTTAGATCTAATTTTTTTAACTGTAACTAATGGTGTTAACAGTTAAAAGGTCAAAAACATTGTTTTGAAATAAGAAAAGGCAAAGTGTCATTTTGAAATGTTTTGAGGGGGATTTTTGAATTTTATCCTATTACTATATATAATTTAATGAGTTATACATATGAATATGATGACATAGATTCATTGGTCACCATTTATTCATTTAATTGTCTTTATTAGTTTAATATTTCAATATTAACTTTTTTACTTATAATCACTATGATCAATTAAATTTGTTTGTGGAGTTTTCAAACTTTTTTTATAATAATATATAAGATGAGGATGCAATTTGTATATACCTATTTAAACAAACTAGTTATGGTCCTTTGCGTCCAAATTAAAGACTAAAACATTTATTATAAATTCTTAAATATTCAAATTATTATAATCAAAATATGTACTACTACCTTTTTTTATTAAAATTTTAATTTTCAATATATAAATTAAAGAAAAGCTTAATATTTTTTTTAGTTGTTTGTATTTTTATTCCCCTTTCATTTCATTATTGTCTTTTCATTCCTCACTTATTAATCTAAAAATTTCAAAAGATATAGTCGTAGTAGTAGATTACAAAGAAGAGAATAATGATGGCATAATACTCAAAAAAGCCCTTGAACTAGTTTAAAAAGTTTAAATAAGTCATTTTTACATTGCATTTAATTAAGTCATTATATTTTTTATTTTTGATCAAATAAGCTCTTATGACTAATGGTTGATTAATTTTTATTAGTTGAAATATCATTTATAATTTTATATCTATATGGCAGTAACATGACGCTAATATATTGGGTGAAAAATATTATATTGCCATGTTATCATACTACATTAACATAATATGTCATCATCAATTATAATATGTTAACATGTCACATTATTATTAATTATAATATTTTAGCATATCACGTCAATATCACATCGTATAAAATGATAAATGATATTTTGACTTAATCAACTATTAATCATAAAGGTTAATTTGGCTCAAAATAAAAATATAAAGAGTTATTTGGTTCAAAACAAAAGTATAGGGACTTGATTGAATATAATAAAATAATAAGATTTATTTAAATTTTTTTGAATAATTTAGAGATTATTTTAAGTATTATGCCAATAAGTATTAATCAACCTATTTATCAATAACAAAAGAAAAAAGAGAAGGTAAAAGCGATGCAAAAAAAAACTATTTTGATGATTTAATATATTAATAATTTCTACGTAATCTTTCCCAAAAACTATATAATGTAAATGATAATAATTGAATTTTTAAAACATGATTCATAATTTCCACCAACACTTCAACTTCAAGATGTCTATTAAACAATGACAAATTAGTTAACAAGTTTTTATTTTATTTTACTTTTTCATTATTACCCCTTTTAATTTGTTGTTTCAAATGTTAGTATAATTTTCAAATTTAGCTTTTATTTAATCTAATTTAAAGTTGATTTAAAGTTTATTTTCTGATTATTTTGGTTGTTTATTTTTCTTGTTTTCACTTCAAATTACATATTAATTAAACCTATATCTCATTATCTCTTTATATATATATATATATATATTCAAGTTATTGAAGTAAAAATTATTTATCAAATATTTTGATTACATGATAAATGTAATAAGATATACTTAGTGGGATGAACTCCCATCTCACGGTGAGCAGCAAGTACCGGATAATCCTCTCGGAAAGATGAAGAATGGGAGATAACGTTGTGGATTTGGCTTCTCAAATATTTTGTTTGGTTCCGCATGTTTTCAATTGTTTTGACTTTCATTACGTGTTTCTGTTTCTCTCTCTTATTCCTCATCTCAAGTGTTTCTTTTTACTATTATCTTCACAACTTTCCAAATAATATGTCAAAAGTATAAATTTTGAATTTTTTTTAAAAATATTTTTTATTGCATTTAATTAAATTTTATATTTTTATTTTCAATCAAATAAATTTTTATAACTAATAATTAATTAATTTTTATTAATCAAAATATCACTTATCATTTTATACTTATACCATAATGCACTGTTGATATAAAGGATCAAAAATATCATGTAAACGTGTCATTATATCAGCTTAACATGCGGCATCATTATCATTATGCCATGTCAATGTTACATAAGACATACAATGACATATGATATTTTTACTAATACCCATTAGTAAATCATTAACTATAAAAGCTTATTTAGTTTAAAATAAAAGTATAAAAACTCGATTCAATGTAATAAAAAAATAAAAACTTATTTAAAAAATTTTAATTAATTTAATTTTTTTAGGGTAAAATACCTCTAGCCTTATAAGTTTAATCGAAATTCTAAACAGATCTATTAGTTTTCAAAATTAACATTTTACCATAAAAGTGCAAACACTGTTGACAGAGATTATGAAAAGACTAAAATACTCTTTTTTTCTTATTAATTTTAAAAAATATTATTATATTTTTAAGCAAATAAAAAAATAGGGAGCATCATTGCTCCCCAAGGGAGCTCCGATGCTCCCTAGATGGGGAGTTTTTTTTTTAATTAATAAAAAGTTAATAAAATTATATAATAGTAATTTGAAAAATTAATAAAGGGTAAAATTTTTTTTTTACACTTGTCACGTCATCAAATTGATTGAAACATTAACGGTTGACTAACAGCTTGACCTAAATATTTAGTGAAAAATATTTTTTTGAGACAGAGTATCTATTTTAAAAACTAATGCACTTCCGTATAATTTTCATCAAAATTTAGGAGTGAGGGTATTTTTGTTGGGATTCGACCTCATGCTCAAATTAGAAAACAATAAAAAATTAAAATATTACGTAACGAAATAATAAACTAACATTTAATTAGAGAAACAACTGAATCCTAGAAAATCAATATTTGTGTTTTTCATATAACTTTCAAATTAATTATAAATACTCATAAGTTTAATAAGTACATACCTTTCTTTAGATAACGTAATCAGAAGCCAATTAAATCAAAATCTTTGCTTCTTCACCTATGGGATTTATCAAATATTCAATCACCTAAGTATTTAACCTCTAACAATAATCCACACAGTGATTGAATAGGACCTTCTCAAAGGTAGGATATTACTTGTGCTAGTAAGTTTTGTTTCTCAAACAAAAGAACCAAAAATTCTTGCTGAATCTTATTTTTGTAAGACAAAGAAAACTATTTTTCTTTTCTTATTTCATGAAACGGCTGAAAAGTGGTTGAAGGCTTACAGTTTTTAGTTTGTTAACATAACATATTTAAATAGCCAAACTAATTTGTAACCTTAAATATAGCAATTGTATTTTAATTTAATTAACTCTCTGAAAACTTAATTA